TGTGTGTGCGTGTGTGTGTACGTCGCGTGTGTGTATGTGTATGTGTGTTTGTGTGTGTGTGTGTGTGTGTGTGTGTGTGTGTGTGTATGTGTGTGTTTGCTCGTACGGATGTGTCCCTTTTAGACACCTTTGACATAAACGTTCGTATGCTTTTAATACAAAGGTAAACAAGTAAATTAATGAAAGGTAATATATTACGATGACAAATCCCCCCTCGCTCATCAACCCACACATACCAAAGCAAGGAGTCACCCATTGCACAAAGCCAAGAACGGAATAAGGGGAATAACTCGGTATAAAACTATTTGAACGATGGTAAACAGTGGTTGCGTCTCTGGACTACTTTTGGCTTGACATAACTTTTTAAAAAATGTTTTACTGATCTTTCCAGATCTCAAACAAAATTTCTATTATTGTGGGGAAGCAGCAATAATTATATTTCACTGTCAGATTACTCACCCTTGAACCACAAGGTTAAAAACCACTTCGCGTGTCCGTCTGCAGTTTAGAGTCGTTATATTCTTGACTGAAAAGACAACATGTTATTTCTCTTAAGATTGTTTCTGTGCATTTGCTTTGGCGTCTTAACACCCATTTCCCTAATGGAGTCCATTATAAAAAGTGAACTATTGCTTAATGCCAATGATACTAGTATAGAAATTAAGACACCTCTCTCTCTCTCTCAAAGAATAAGCCACAACAACAACAACAACAACAACAACAGCAATAACAACAACAAAGAACCAAAACAGCAACAACAATACCAACAATAATAAATAATCCAAAATTAACCCCCAAAAATCAAGTCATCAACAAGAATCCACGAACAGAATGCCCTAGTAATCTAAAGCTTAGCAAACATACAAATAATCAAGTGATTTCCTAATGCGGGGAAAGCATATTTCTATGAATATTTAAAAAACGCTTTGATCCCAGACAGAAATGTCAGTTTTTGCAAATTTTCTGCGTCATACCTCATCTATTTCTGTTTCGAGTTTCAAGCTCCTATATGCATGCAGTTTATTCGTAATTTGCGAGATTATCATTTTCTTGGGCAGAGGGGAAATATAGGAAAGTGGGGTGGGGTGGGGGGGAGGGTGTTGCATTTTCTTTGACAACAAGAATCAAAGTGTGTCAAATACAACAGGCATCACTGAAGCCTGACAAGTTCTTGGCACTTTTCCAAAATAGACATCTTGAAAGGAGCAGCGACGTCTTGGCTATTCAGAACTAAAGAGGCACCCGCTATTGCCCCATCATGAACCTCTTAAGTGGTCGGTAAAAAAGTGAAAGAGTTCTTGCTAATGTTTCTTTTCAGGGTAAGTACGGTAAGCATCCATAGATTAACGAAAGAACAGAAAGTGCAGAGTGTGCTTTCAGAGATGATGATGATGATGACGATGATGATGATGACGATGATGATGATGATGATGATGATGATGATGATGATGATGATGATGATGATGATAATGATGATGATGATGATGATGATGATGGTTATTACTTTGATTAAAAAACAAACATTACTCACCATCATCATCACAAGTTATATATATATTTTTCTATTCAGGGTGCATGGATCTTTCTGCCTGTCGTGAGCTGAACGTCCCGGACGACAAGGGGAAAAACAACATAACATGTCTTGAAACATTTTACAACCTTGTTGCATTTGCTTGTAATGCGACATGAATTGTTTCTGTATTCATTCACATTTGAGATGTCAATATTCACATTTGAACGCGTTATGTGCAATTTTTGCACTTTTTTGTTCACATTTGAAATTCCATGTCTCTTTTGGTCTTCCTGTGTTACATTTCACCTAACTTTGCCACATTTCAACTTGCTGTGTTCACATCTGAAAGGGAAATATTAAATTATTATTTTTCAATAAAGGAAGAAATCAAAGGCACGTCATCGGCCTATGAAAGGAAAGCCGACCAATTACACCAATTATGCAGGTGCCTATATGAAATGACGTTTTATGTTTTTTTGATTAAAAGAGAAACTTCATTAGCACATTAGCAAACATGTTACTCTCTTTAACCCTTCTACCCTACGACCATACGAAAAAAGTGACTAATCCCTGAATGCCACAAACGTGTTCACGTCCACATTTGGTAGGTAAACCAAATGTCAACCGCGACATATACTCTTTAAAAAATTAACCTGACACTCACTTTCAAAACTGAATTTTTAAATATAACGAACATAGTAAAAAGAACAAAGTAAGGTAATGGTCTGGCAGATGCTAACTGTACACGTTCAAAACGTTAGCCATGCTGAACAAACCGAATGCCATGCACAAATTTGTAAACAGAATGGGGTACACGAAAAGTCAGTGCCTGATATGAGAACCATTAAACTTTGATCCCTTCTCGGCATCGGGAACCCATGGATCAAGTTTGCAATAACGTGTTGGGGGATGGTCTGCCACTGATGCTAGAGTGCCACAAGGAGTTCTGGTAGTTGCTGAGGTGGCGGATTCCTCTGCCACACCCGTCCATCCAACTAGTCCCATACGTGTTCGATTGAAGACAAATCCGGTGAACATGCAGACCTTGGTAGAGTAGGAATGTTGTTGGCACGCAGGAAGTCCTCACATACCTATGCAACATGCGGACGAGTGTTGTCCTGCTGCAAAATGCCACAATTAGCGTTCAGGTATGAAACAACATGAGGCTGCACGATCTCATCCCTGTACCTGTCACCCATCACTTTGTGCTGGCACTACTGGAGACGTTCTGTCACGTGGTGTGCGGTGGACATGTTACGTCGAACTGGTCTTCAAGAAAAGAGTCCTGCCTCCCTGAGACGATAGCGGACTGTCTGATCAGAAATTCTTCCATGTCCAAGGATTTGAGCATCTGTAGACGTTGCTGTTGTGGCTTTTTGTACGGCACTGAGAGAGGTTACAGAATGCTGAATTGCAGTCCACTACTCGTCATTATGGATTTCGTCAAAACTCGCCTATACGGACGTTTTGATGTACACTGCGCGTGATTATTGGTGTTTTTGGCGACAACACTTGATCCTTTACAAAACTATGTCCCTAATATTTACAATTAATAATTTTGTTCTTCGTTTCCTTAGGTTCAAAATTTACCAAGTGTTAAGTTTATTTTTGGTGTATTTTGTTTTTGATTTTTGGAAGAGTATATAAATAACTGAGTACTTCTCATCCCGTAAATTAAATTAATTTTAGCAACATCCTCTCTTTCTGGGATTAATTTTCATGATTATTTTCAAAATACGACAAGTAGCCCGTTTATCCCCTTCCCAAGTTCTGTTACCAACTTAATCAATCCCTTGATTCTGGCATTGCCACAAACTTGACAGCTCTCTGGAACATCGAGTTCTCTGCTATTGTGTAAAACAAGTTGGCTCTTCAGTGGGAGAGATTACGAAGATTATTGTTATCAAATGGAGACAAGAACACGAGAAATGTCAAAGGCGTTTCGAAATTCAAAAGAACACCCGGAAAAAGCATTATTGTTTCCAAACAGGTTTCGAGGGCCTGATAATTTTATCTATCTATCTATCTATCTATCTATCTATCTATCTATCTATCTATCTATCTATCTGTCTGTCTGTCTGTCTGTCTGTCTATCTATACTTTTGACTTAAAGTCAATCTGTCTATCAACACGTTTAAGTCAAAGTCAGTTATCTGTCAGTCAGTAATTTTGTTTTTCTGTTGTTGGATAGATTTTAGCTCATATAATATGTGTCTCATTTTTCCGTTCAAAAATCTTATCAATGGTCTCTATTTACATAAGATACATCAATGATTGTCGTGAACAGACTTACACTGTCTGTCAAAGCAACAAAAAAAAGGGGATAGAAGAAAAGGACGGCAAGTGACGTGAATGCCATGTTTAAACAAAGAGCTCCTTCTGAATCAGCATATTATAAGCCCACTGCTGTTTGCAAAAGCCTAATACAGCGAACAACTTGCTAGTTAGAGCAGGATTTTGACATCAGACTGGATTTTAGAAATACAGTAAGAACAGGCTATTGAGTGTGCACATAAAATGATGTAAATTAAGTAGTGGAGAAAATTTGGGAAAAGATTGTAGAGAATCCTATAGCTTCAAAATATTACTGTTGGCCTCTTGAATCATTATAATGTGCTGAAGCATTAGAACGTTGCGTCCAGACGTCAGAGGTGATTTAAGTGAACTCGTCTTTACCAGATTCCAACTTTAGATAACGATGAGCCACGAAAGTTGGATTTCCAATTTCGATCAAATGTGCAGAATTCTTCAGATGAGGTGTTAATTTCCTCTTTATTTTACACGTCGTGAATGAATTGCAAGTAAAATAAAAACGTTTCTTGACATTTCTTTTGGCTTCGCATACATACGACTTCCAGTTACAGGTATAGCTCTTCGCCATGAATGGCCTTTGTAGAATCGATCTAACTAAGCAGATTGTGAACAAGGCAAACGTTGTGATGTTTACTCTCTCATATTTGTTTGACAACTCCTACTCCTCCCCCCCCCCCAAAAAAAAAGAAAACCGGTCGCAATTTCTTTTTCGTAATGGGGACAAAAATTGAAAATTCTTTCTTATGCCCGAAACAAGAATGTATTCATAAGTGACTAAAGCGTTCATAAAGGAATACTTTTTTATGCATATCCCTGCCCAGTGGAAAGACAGTTGACATGCAACAACAAAAAATTGTGATTTGATTTTCTCTCTCTCTCTATCTCTCTCTCTCTCTCTCTCTCTCTCTCTCTCTCTCTCTCTCTCTGACTTTCTCTCTC